TGATAAAGAATCTGTCCGATTAATAAAATTCTATTATTTTCTTTAGAAAGATATTACTTCTAAAATCCAACAATAAAATGAATTTACTTATAAAATAAAATACGCACGAATTACTTCATTTAAACCGTTTCAAAAGGTTACTGGTAATCTTTCTAATTTGTATGTGTTACTAGCAACATTTCTAATTCGTATTTGTCATGATTCAGGTTAAAGTAAGTCTATTTCAATTTTAGTTATAACATAGTTTTATGATGTCAACGAACACACGTTGCTTCTTTTGAAATACCAACGAATACTCGTTGTCACTTTCGTAATGCCCGCCGTATATACTTTGTAATCGCAGATACAACTATAGTACGCCGTTGAACAATGCTGATGCCAGCTTGCCTTCGAATATCACTAGCACTAATAGTACTTGTTCGATAATACTCACTCGAATAGTAATCCGTATAGTGATCGGAATAAAGAAATAGTATGGTGAATAGGGTAAAGAATAGTGGTCTGTATAGTAATAGTGGTCTACTTTAATTCAATAATGGGATCGCCTGCGTTAGCTCACTGGCGATCTATGTTCAAACTCAAGTGTCGGCAGCGACACTTTATTCCTATATAACACATAGTTTGTAAAAAGTCTCTGGGAGGTTGAATTAAAGGAACGTGGAATCATATATAATAAATATGAGAAGAATCATGCAAATAATTTATGAATAAAGAATTTTAAAATAAATAAGAAATATTTATCATTAGAGACGAAGATTATAAAGAAAAAGTAGACAGAAACCTTACAATAGATTCAAATTATAGATATTCAAGCGAGACCTCTTCGTCGTTCTGGGTATAACGATAAACTACATCTGGCAGCAAGGGAGATTTTGAGGAGTGTAAAACACCTCTTAATTGCTGTTGTTCCCAGGTTCACACTGACCCGGGGTGGTAGTACCTGTTACGGTCTCAACTATGGACAAATAGTTAACTCCCAAAAGGGTGTTGCATAGCTCCTTGTTGAGGATGGTCTTTTCTTGGCCAACGACCGCTAGTTATTTTACTTAACAATAATGTCATCACATACGGAAAATTTTATCTTCTATAGTTATTAATGTAGACATGTTCAAACTATCCAGTGGGAGTCGTCCCGCTAATTGAGGAGCCATTTCAGACACGAAAGAGAACACGTCTACATTACGTGACGGATAAGACTCGACTATCTGAAACATTTCTATCTCCTTTCCCACGCTAATTCAGTCAGTCATAATCGACGTCCCATATTATGGCTTAGATCTGACCCCAAGGTCAATCTCAGGAAGTCGGAGCAGAGATACACTTCCTTTAAAAAAATGATAGTCTAATAAACTATTATTTTAAATTGGGTTAGAACACTATGTATAAAAATATATTTAATAGTAAAAATACCAGCAATACATTTTCAAAAGAAATATTACAAGCAATACATTTTTAATATATATATATATATATATATATATATATATATATATATATATATATATAAATTGTTGGGGTACAAAACCGTAGCATTGCAAGGAATAGATACAAATTATTTCCTAAAGGCATTATGAAAATAAAAATAAGAGATGATAACAAAAACAGACCAACCGTTTTTCCCAAGCTCATCAGGGTCGAATTTATCAATTATTGCAAATATATTGACTCCATAAACACCATACATACAATTAAAACATTAAAAAAATTTTAATGGTAAAAAAAAAAAATATATATATATATATATATATTTCAAACTGAATATGCACAGCACAAAGGGGGAAAAAGAAAAATTATAATTGTGAGGGGAATGTATGATAGACACTAGAGTAACGGTGAATCCCAGGAGACAGTCTTTGCTTGCAAAGAGACGGCTGCCTGGACCGAATATACAGAGACTCAAGTGCCCCAAAATGAAATGGAGAGTGAACTGACAGTACAGAAACCAATTCGGACTGAAGTTCCACATTGCAATTTATTAAATGTTCAGTGATGCTGACCCGGAAGTATTAACAACTGGTTACATGAGCATCCGGATTAAGAACTGCAATGGGACATGCTGCCTGATCCTTAATCTAAACGTTGAAGTCCTTCCTATGTAGTTGTTACCGCAACCACAATTAAAAGAATATATCCTCCGTGATATACTGTCCAGTTCGCACTCTCCATTTCATTTGAGGGCACTTGAGTCTCTGTATATTCGGTCTAGGTAGCCGTCTCTTTGCAAGCAAAGAGACTGTCTCCTTGGGATTCACGTTATTACACTCTAGTGTTTATCATACATTCCCTCACATTCCCCGTTATAATTTTTTTTTTTTTTTTTTTTCCCTTTGTGCTGTGCATATTCGCACGGTTTGAAATATATATATATATATATATATATATATATATATATATATATATATATATATATATATTCCTCATAACATTAATCATTTCATTTTTTATTTTTTTAATTGTATGTAGGGTGTTTGTGTGAATTAATATATATTGCAATAATTGTTAAATTGTTCCCAGTCGACCCTGATGAGCTTGGGAACGAAACCGGTTGGTCTGTTCTGTAAGTGTTATCATCTCTTATTTTTATTTTTCATAATGCCTTTAGGAAATAATTTGTATGTATTCTTGAAATATATATATATATATATATATATATATATATATATATATATATATATATATATATATATATTACCAGCAATACATTTGACTCTCGACAGAAATCCTCTTTACCAAAACATATTTATGAAACATGATCAGCAAACTGATTTCTTCTAAAGAATACATACGAACTTATCCTATAAATATTTTCGGCATTAAATAACCCATTGATGTTGATATGCCGTAAACAAAATAACCCAAATGCCAATCTAATGGACGATTATTTGCAGATTCTGTCACAGTCTAAAATTCGGGTAATGAGATCTTTCCTCAGTGGATTTCCACTACGGTGTAAAGCCTGCCTCGTCAGTTATGTAGTTGTATATTTCTGCGACAAGTATATGCAATGATTGACATGACGTGTATTAAGGCCCGCCCTCCTTACTAAAAACGTTCTTCCTTTTTACACGAATCCAACCTTATTTGGCCTTTACCGCAGTAATATAATCGTAATAAATATCACGTAAGTGTGGGAAATTGTGTTTCTTTTAATCATCAGAGATTGAAAGTCTCTTGTTGCGATTAGATAGAATACAGATTAATTATTGTTTTATAGCATTTAGGACTCAATTTCAATTTAACCGCTCACTGTTTCTAGTTTTAGAAAGTCACTATTTATATCACCGCTCCATTTTCGTTCTTAGATAAAATCAAGAGTTACGAATTTATTACTCAAGGAGTAGGATTAAGTTGTTTATTAGGTGTTTTACAGCTTATCAACCTTTTGAATGTTATTTAAAATCGGAAATATTTTTTAAATTTTAAAAATTTTATGAGATAACACTTGGTTTGGTTGTTTTTTTTTTGTTTTTTGTTGGTTTTTTTTTTGGTTTTTTTTCGGCATATCAACGTCTATGGGAGATAATAATGCTTTCGTGATACATATCTCCTACTAATTAACTCATAGCTGTAGATAGAAAAGGGAAAGGTAAGAGAATATAATGAACCTGACATGAATTGGAACATGACTCTCCAATTTCCAATTTTGAACTGTTATCCATTATCCATTACACCACCCGCACATCCAAGTTTACAGCATCTGGTATTCCCAAGCTGTCACCCTTATAGATACTGACCAAACACGTCGATGCTTAACTTTGATGACCGAAAAAAACAGGTCTGCGTGTGTGCATAGATACGCGCATAGTTAAAGAAAGAAAGAAACCAAATGACTTAACAATAAAAGCGAAGATATGTCATGAAATAATTTAGCATATCTAATATGCTTTTCATAATTTTTTATACGGATCTTAAAAGTGAAAATGAAATACCGCTAATATTAAAGAACAATCTATTATGCTTTTTATAACGTATTTTTTATACGGATCTTAAAAATGAAAATGAAATACCGCTAATATTAAAGAACAATCTATTATGCTTTTTATAACGTATTTTTATACGGATCTTAAAAGTGAAAATGAAATACCGCTAATATTAAAGAACAATCTATTATGCTTTTTATAACGTATTTTTATACGGATCTTAAAAGTGAAAATGAAAGACCGCTAATATTAAAGAACAATCTATTATGCTTTTTATAACGTATTTTTTATACGGATCTTAAAAGTGAAAATGAAATCCCGCTAATATTAAACAATCTATTATGCTTTTTATAACGTATTTTTTATACGGATTCTAAATATGAAAATAAAATACCGCTAATATTAAAGAACAATCTATTATGCTTTTTATAACGTATTTTTTATACTGATCTTAAAAGTGAAAATGAAAAACTGCTAATATTAACGAACAATAAGATTGTCTACAACTTTGGGACTTATATTTACCGAGTTCGTGGCCTTACGTCTATATCATTCGGAGGTCAATATAATAAATGATATTAATTTCTAAGTGATAGACTTGGATAGGCGGTTGAAATATTGGAGAAGTGAAAGGTGCACCTGCCTCTCAATCAATAGACATCAAGAGAGGAATAATTGACTCGCCTCAGGCCGTCGTGAGCTAATATGTTTTGCCTTCGAAAATCACAAAAATAACTTATTTTAATGCTAATTCCTTCAGACAATTTGGTTGCAATGACCTTTGAATTTGAAGACTAGTTTCACGTTTGGGCAATATGAATTTATGCTTGAAGCCGGCTCTTTGCCAAAAAACTTTCAGAACTTGGTTCGAATAACTCTTGTCTTTCTCTTACCAAATATAATTTTCTCGACGTTAGTGAGCAAGGGTTTATTTGTAGGTGACCTCGGGTGAAAGCAAAATTCACTTATCATGTGTGCGGTTGTTGAGGTGAAAGAGAATTTATATCGTGCCAGTATGAGTCAGTGGTTTTCAGTGTTAAAAGATAATCTTTAAGAAAGGAGAGAGTAAGAGACGGAGAATTAATCAAAAACTATAGCCATGAGAATAGCAAATAAATCAGAGAAAGCAACAAAGAAAGGGGAATAATGTAAATCAAAGAAAGAAAGAGAATAATCATAATAGAAAGAAAGAAAGAAGGAAAGAAGGAAAGAAATAAAGAAAGAATGATCATAAATTAAATAAAGAAATAATGAAATTATTGGTAGTAAATCATAGCAAAAAGGAAGAAAGGATAAACGATGAAAGAGAAAAAAAAAGGAAAAGAATAAAAAAAGGGAAATATTGTAAATTAAAGAAAGAAATAGAAAAATCATAATCGAAAATAGAAAGAAAGAAAGAAAGAAAGAACTGGAGGTAAAGTAACAAAAAAAAGACGGGTTAAAGAAAGAAAGAAAGAAAGAAAGAAAGAAAGAAAGAAAGAAAGAAAGAACTGGAGGTAAAGTAACAAAAAAAAAAGATTGGTTAAAAAAGAAAGAAAGAAAGAAAGAAAGAAAGAAAGAAAGAAAGAACTGGAGGTAAAAACATAAACCAAAAAAAGAAGATTGAATAAAGAATGACGGAAGAAAGAAAGAAAAAAAAGAAAGAACTGGAGGTAAAAGTAACAAAAAAAAGACGGGTTAAAGAAAGAAAGAAAGAAAGAAAGAAAGAAAGAAAGAA